ACAGTGCTTTATAATTTCCTAAGCTATGCTTCATGTCTTTTAAGATCAGAGCCTATCTGGTGCTATTGTCCAGAGAGTAAACTTCAAGTCTTTCTGAGCGGTGAGGGTAGTTGACTGATTTTGTGCGTGAGAGAAGGGATCTGTAGTGTCTAATGCATTCTAACATTTTTGAAAATAGGGTGTGTCAATATAGTGAATTTTTTTTCTTTCAGTGGTACATAATGATGCATCTTATAATCAATAAGATCTTCAATTTTATGAAACACTAGTAAAATTTTAAAAATCATAAAACAGAAAATACAGAAAAAAACAAAACAGCTATAAAACTTAATAAATTATCAGGCTTACACCTTGCCTTATAATACAGATGACTTAATAAGTTATTAGGTTAGTATGAGACAAACACCCCATAACACCACCAAGGTCATAAAACTTTGCCGATCACCCACAGAAGCCCCATCCATTTGCCTTGTTCTAATATCAATGCCCTCCCTCTCCTCTAGGAATTGTAATCACTTTTTTGTATATCTTTATCACTAACTTCCTCCTAAATATTCTAGTTTAGTTTTGCCCATTTTTAAACTCCACAGCTTTCCTCTTCATTCCTTATAATTTATCTGTTGAAAATTCCAGGGCATTTGACCTGTAGTTTCCAACAGTCTAGATTTTGCTAATTGTGAACTCAGGCTACAGTTCAACATGTTCCCCTGTATACCCTGCAATTTGGCAGCTTGATCAAGAGGCTTAATCAGACTCACTTTCAATCCCTTTGGCAAGACTATAGGTGATGTTGAGTTTTTTCATTAGGAGGTACAAAATGCCTCATTATATCCTTTTGTGATGTTAGCAGCAGTTGATGCTAAAAGTCTAAATCCATTAATCTACTAGGGGTTGCAAAATGGTGATATTTGATAGTTTTTCACGATTAGTTAGAATACTAAAAGATTTTTGTCTTCATCTGTCATTTGGTTACCCAAATGGTATAGTTCAGGGGAAAGACAGAAAAAATGTTCGATTTCTTCTCTTTATTTATCAGTTTTCAAAATAAACTGACATCCTGTCATCCTCTGAAGGTGACCGTTTTTACGTTCATGACAGGCTTTAAAAAATTGCAATTACCATTTTTGAAGATAAAATTTTCCCATATTTTGACAGAGTCTCTTCAAGTTGGCTCCTGAATCTTTTGGAAATTATAGTAGTCTTTGATGGCTTCTGTCTGTTTTGACAAGTTGCTTCAGGCTTATTTCTTACAGTTCCTGCCTCAGACTATTTTCCCAAAAAGCCCTGGTTTCTTTTCATGGGAAATGGTATCTTAAAACCACAAGCTAAGTTACATGTTACTGGGTTGCTCATTGTTTCTAGGTCTCTTCAGTGTGTGTATAGTCTCATGAGTTTATGCTAATACCTCCAATTCAAATTCACAACTACAGGGATTTCAAAACTTAATCTATTCTTCTTATGTCTTTTTCCCATACCAAGGATACAGCATTGTTCTCAAGAAAACAAGGAATGGATTACTGTATCTCCTAAATAATAATTTACTATAAACCACATTATATGCAAAACAGTCCCCGAATAACAATACTGTCAGATTACCACCAGCTGAACCAAATGTTTTATGTATAGTTCTCTCATTCTCTTGTTTTTTTTTTTTGAGTTGTACTATACTTATGTTGGATATATAGTCATCACATACTATACTTTCTCCCTTTTAACCCTCATTTAGTTTTTATTGTACAAGTAACTATGTTTAATGCTCACCACCAGTCTTTATGTTGCTATCTCTAGTTATATTTTGGTTATCTGGAGCTCATTTTCCAGAAGATTCCTCAGGAAGAGCTCAAGGGAAGAATATTTCCCAAATTCTTGTACGTTGGATAACAGTTTGTCTGTGTCCTTTATACTTCAAAGTCAATTTTGTTGGACATAAAATCTTTGGTTCACATTTTTTGAGTACCTTAAAAATAGTACTCCATCTTTTTCATTATAATTGTGGAAAAGTCTGATGATAGCCTCATTCTTTTTACTTATGTGCAGTTTGCTGTTTTTACCTAGATGCCTAAAGGATCTTTGATTTACAGTTCAGTAACTTTATTACTTATGTCTTGATGTTGGCTGTTCCAGGTTAATACTTCGGTGAGTTTTCTTGAAAAAAAATTATACAATTTCCTTCAGAAATATATACCACTGTATCTATATAATTTCTTTCACTCCATTTGTTTATTGGGTCTTCTTTTCCTATCTTCAATATTTGTCACTTTCTCTTGAATTCTTCTCTTCACTTTTTTATTTTTACGTTACTTAAGGCATTATTCATAGTTCCTTCTAGTCTCGCCTTCACTTCTGAAGTGTTATTTCTAATGCTTTCCTGAGTTTACCTGATTTTTTTTTCGTTATAAATTTCCTATGTTGCATCATTTTCTTATCTTTTAGCACACTTTAAAATGGGTTAGTTTTGATCTGTCCAGTGGCCATCATTCTTTAGGGATGCTATTTTACTCTTTTTAAAAATAACTTTGTATAAGATTGACCTAAAAATTTTCATGTGACTCATTTTTCCTAAACTTTGAGAAGAAAGCATGGCTCATGGGAGCCTTTCTAACTTCAGTTTGTTTTTTTAAGTGTTCAAAAGCATGGTATCCTGCTGATATTTCTCTGCTGGCTGTCCACCCTTCACTTATATTTTAACCTTTCTTTGCCACTGTTGTTTCTCTTGCTTAATTTTGGCTTTATTCCCAGTAGTTTCTCTTCCATGGGAGACTGTCCTTAAAGAGAGCCTTGTTTTATCAGTTCCAGTAGTTTACAGGGACTGGATTGCTTCAATCCCTCAGACGTTACTGCCGGCCTCTAGCACTCACCCACTATCAGAATGGGCAAAACCTTTTCCAGTTTCAAATGCTGTTCTCAAAATTGGCCCTCCATACTTTCCAGTAGTTATTCTAAAGTTATGTTCTGAGGTCCATCCAATGCCCTGTTGTCTCCCTCTGCTTCTCCTGAATAGGTGCTAATGCCATGCAGGCCTTGCAGCTGTTGGTGGCTTGTCTTCACCCATTTATATTTTGAGATTTGAGGACATATGTCACCTAAATTTGTTGTAAATGTTCTCCATAGGCTTTTGGTTTTGTTGTCCAGTTGCTTTTATGTGGGGATTTAGACTGAAAAAATATGGCACTGATGCCATCTTCCCAGTCTCTCATGCTATTCTTAAAGGTTTTCTCAGCATCACCCTGCACCTCTGCCTTCAGAGCCTGTGAGACATCCCTGTTTAATGAGCCCAGCTAGACTTTTACTTCTTGTTGGTTTCCCCCACTGGAGAAATTATCATTTCTTTTCTAAATCACTTACCATTCTTCCATCCATTTTCCAAACCCCTGCCTGATGTCGTCTCTTCTTTCTTTCTGCTAACCCTTGTCGATCTATAGTGTTTTATTCCTTTTCTGTCATATAAGTGGAGTTTCAAGTGAGTAAGGACATAAAACTTTTGTAGACAATGTTGGACTCACATTCTTAATTTCTTGTATAATAAGAAACATTCACAAGGAATTCAAATTTGCTTGTTTTTTAGTGCAGTGGGTTGAATAGTGTCCCCCCCAAATTCATGTCCTTCCCAGAACCTGAGAATGTGACGTTATTTGGAAATAGGGTCTTTGCAGATGTAATTAGTTAAGGTGAGGTCATTTGGAATAGGGTGGGCACTGAATCCAGTATGGCTGAGTGTCCTTATGAGAAGCCAAAGACACAGAGACACACAGGGAAGGACGCCATATGATGACAGAGGCAGACTGGAGTGATTCACCTACAAACCAAGGAATGCCAAGGATGGCTGGCAACCACCAGAAGCTAGAAAAGAGGCATGGAAAAGATACTCTCTCAGAGCCTTCCAGAAGGAACCAACCTTGTCAACATCTTGATTTTGGACTTCTAGCCTCCAGACTGTTGAGAATAAATTTCTGTCGGTTAAGCCACCCAGTTTGTGGTACTTTGCTATGGCAGCCCCAGGAAAGGAATACATTTTAATTAGTTTTTTTCAAGATCTGTTGTTGGTTTTTGGCTGGTTTTTACAATTTTGATGTATTTTTTTTGTTCCATTTCGACCGATTTATCCAAGAGTCACCTACTAAGTCTCATTTAAAAATTAAAATACTGTGTCCCTTTCCTTCATCTTCTGTATCTCAGATACTTTTTATATTTCCTATACTTCCTGTCACATCAGATCTTTACTTGTATAAGTGGCTCTCTTTCCAGGGCATCTGTCTATTTTTTTGCAGAGTGTACATATCACAGAGCCTGCAGTTTTAGTATTTCACATAGCCTTTAGGGATCTTAGTTTTAATATATTAAGGAGTTTTCAGCCCACACTTTAAGACATATTAAGAAACACTGAGGATGTTTCTGAAGTTTAAAATTATTAATGGCATAAGCAGTAGTTCATTTTATATTAGGCTGAAAACAATTTTCCATAACTGCCAACCTGTAACCCAACCAAACTTTAGGGATAACAGAGCACTATCCCATTTATGCAATGCCTTTCAACCTGTCCAACCACCCCTCTCAGCCCAGTAACTTTATTTTCAATTCGACCTGAAGAATAGACAGGAAAAGCAGGTGGGAAAATTTCAAAGCCTGAAGAAATATAGTGACTTTTCTCTAGAATACAATGATTATCAAATTGTGGTTTTTCACTTATCGTCCTTATACTTGACAACATTATAGATATCTTTAGAGTAGATTTTTATAAATTTCAAGGAACTTGCAAAATTAACATTAAAACTTTCAAAAAGCTGTCAGAGATAAAATTATTCCCCTGTTTAGCTTCTTATGAAAATATAAAAAGCGGAGCAAAAGAAAAAAATTACATAGTTAATATACAAAATGTACTCTATTTTAAAAATGACATAGATCTAAGAATAAATCTTTCAGGCTGGTAACTCCCTCATTCCTGAATAGGGACTTCAAACTGATATTCTCTTGCAGGCAACAGCCTCCCAAGCAGCCTGCATTTATTGGAATATCGCTCTCTGAGCACGAGTACATTCGGGTTTGTTAAATACATCATCTTCTGCATTTGGAGTTAGCTGGATGTTGTCTTTGACTGGAGATAGGGGAGCCGGCTTCTTACAAGAAGGAAGCTTTTCAGAATTTCTGCAAAATATAAGAATAAAATGAATTTGGTGTTTTTAGGGTACCAATTATTAGAGAATAACCTACTAGGACAAATAGAGGTATATTAAGGACTCAATGACTTCCCCTCATTATAGATGGATAATTTAGGGAAATAAATAGCTTTAAATCCAGAAGTATAATAACAATAATATTTTCCCACCTCCTGCCTAAAACAACTTTATTCTCATTACAATCCTGACAGATAAGAAGGGGAGAAACCCAAGAAACATAGGGCCTGGAAAAGGGATAAAGTAATTTGTTAACAGAAAGATTCCAAAGTTAGGTTTAGAACTGAGATTTTTTTAGTTTGCCAGCTTTTCACTGTAAGAAAGTACAGAAATTAAAGTTACATCTACTCACAAAGAGTCAGCTAAAGGGAATAGAGGAAAATAATACACTTATGTGAGAGGAACAAAAATTGATTCATGAGAAACTAGAAAAAGAGTTGGGAGAAAGGTACTGAAATTAGAGAGAAAAACATTTTTTTTCCTATTTTAGGATAAGAAAAGAGGCAACTTACTTTTTAAATCCAAAATTTTTCCAGAGCTCACTGATTTTTATCTGCAGTCCTGGCTTGTTCTCAGCATTATGATGATTTCTTCTCTGGATGCTAGCTGGCTTCTTGCTCAGCCCACTGACTTTGGCAGGTACTAGAGGCTTGATCTTGGTCGTAGAAAGAGAGTCTACAGAACTAGATTTATACAGCCCAGGAACCTGAAGATTAAATGCCCCAGGTTTTAAGGCTATTTTGTTACAGCAACTACCTTTAGTTCATTTCAAACTATTCTTTATATACTGGCACATAAAAATAACCCATAAGCAATGGGTAAAAATGTGCTATTTATAAACATCTACTACAAAAATTATCATAATCATTTTAACAGGTAATACATGCATTTGCACAAAATTCAAGAGTCACAAAAGAATAGAAAGAAAAGTCTCCTGCACTACCTCTCCCTCCAGAGACAATCAGTGCTACCAGTTCCCTGTGTTTCCATTGAATTGTTTACATACACACACACAATTGGCAGTGTACTGTTGGGCACTTTGTTTTTCTCATTGAATATTATATCTTGATTCCACTTAACGATGTATCTTGGAGAGTTTTCCATTTCGCAAGTAGAAGTGAATTCTGTTTTGAAGAGGTTGCCTCTTCTTCCATTGTAAACATATGTCATAATTTACTTAAACAAATCTCTACTGACATTTATGTTGTTTCCATTGAAAGGCTGATTTTATCCTGAGATCAATATGGAGCCAATGAAGTTTTGTTGTTGTTAAGGAGAGTGAGTGTGAGGTTTATAAAACAAGGCTTTAAAACTGATTAGCCTGCCAGAGGGTGTATAAGGAATGGGAAGGTTAAAACACAATAAAGGTTCACAAATGAAAGATGAAATCCTGTCTGGTGATGGGAGAAAAAGAGCGTGACCAAAAGACAAGATAAAAAAAGAAATGTTAGGAATTTGATAGATATACATGTTTTTTTCTTTACCCTGTGTAGAAGGATTGAGCTGCAGTTATAAAGAAAAAGGACATCCCTGGGATTTTGAAATTAAGTGTCAAAGAGAATAATATAATTTAATTTAGTAGATAAAAGTAAAAATGTTCTGAGAAGAACTGGTTAGAGGTTAAAAAAAAAAAAAAGATGTGTTTGATTTTAGATATTTAAGAGGAGAACAAGGGGGAGTGTCCATCTGGAGAGTCATCAAAACAGAAGTGATAGTTAAAACTTGACAATGCAGATCTCTGAGTCCAAACACTTTTTAAAAAAAAAAGATGTTTTACTGTCTAGACATAGCTCCTTTTGGGAAAGTACTTTTCTACATGTCTAATCTTATCCATCAGTGCAAATAATTTTGTAAGTACCTTTCCAGATTTTTTACTATGATTATATAAACATACATATGTGTGCAAGAGTGTTTTTAAGTATTTAAAAGAAAAAACGCACCATGATATACATGTTGTTTAATAACTTGTTTTGCCTTATTACTCCAAATTACTTTTCCATATTCAATTTTCCATATTACTCCAAAACATAATATAAACATCTTTCCAACTTAGTATATATGTTTGAGAGGAGCCCTCGTGGTGCAGTGGTTAAAGTGCTTGGCTGCTAACTGAAAAGTCAGTGGTTCGGACCCACCAGCGGCTCCACAGGGGAAAGATGTGGCCGTCTGCTTCAGTAAGATTTACAGCCTTAGAAATCCTATGGGGGCAGTTCTACGCTGTCCTACAGGGTTGCTGTGAGTCAGGACTGACTTGATGGCAATGGGCTTTTTTATGTATGTTTGAAAATGCCTTTCTCACTCAAAGATTTAAAAAATAGTCTCAAATTTATGTATTTTATATTTATATCTTTAATCTCTTTGGGATTTATATTCATCTAGTGTAAGATGGGAATCTTCTTTCAAATGGATACGCAGATCATTTATTGAAATTTTTAAAATGTTTTTATGCTATTAGAAAAATAATATGCAAAAAAAATGTGAGAACAAAGAACAGAAAAAAAATTACCTATATTCCTACATCTAGTAGCTTGAAATCAATAATGTATTTAATCATTAATGTAATTGATAATGTATTTAATTAATGTACTTAATAATGTATTTAATCAATGTACTTAATAATGTATTTAATCTCCCTTATTGTTAGATATTTAGATTATTTCCACTTTTCCACAATTGTAGCCAATGCAGGAACAAGCATTCTTATACTTAAATTCTGATTATTTCTCTGGGCTCAAGTTCTAGAATGCGCTTACTGGGTCAAACTGTTTGAACTCTTTGGCAACAAGCATACTGCCAAATTGCTTTCCAGAAATGGCAGACTAATCCACTCTCTTAAATATGTGACTGTTCATCTCACTATACCCTCATAAAAAATAAGTACAATTAAAAACACATGTTGGAAAAATGAGATGCAAGAAATCGTATTATTTTAATTTGCATTCTTTGAATACAAGTAAGGTTGAACATGCTTTCATATATTATTCAACCATATGTACTTTTTGTTTTGTGATCTTTGCTCATGTCCCTTGCCTATTTTTAAGTTAGGAGTTAGTGCCTTCCTACTGATGGGCAAGAACATTTAAAATACAAACTATGCTTTATTTTAACCTGTGAGCTTTCGTTATGCAGTCATCCAAAGATTTCTATATTTGGATTAAAAAACTGGCTTATTAAGAGAACAGGATACAAGGAAAAGATTAGTCCAAAGGACTAATGGTCCACAGCTACCAAGGCCTCCACCGGACTGAGTCCAGTACAGCTAGATGGTGCCTGGCTACCACCACTGACTGCTCTGACCAGGATCACAAGAGAGGG